AAAAAAAAAAAAAAAAAACATTAATGTCATTGTGACATATGATGCAATCGTGTAACATAAATATAATGTTGCTTGTTGTGATAAAAATATTACAACTTAAATATTAATATTTGGAGCATAAAAACAACTAATGTTAAAAAAAAAAACGAAACAAACATAAAATAAATTGATCGAAATTAACATGAATTTTAAATCCTAAAAATTATAAATTGTTCATCAAATCGAACTAAATCTAAGCATCTTATCAAATATTTCAACTAATAAATATTTCTCTTAAACTCCACTGTCATCACCACCTTCTTTATTGTGGTCGATCAAATTTCCATCATCATCGACCTTGTCTTTACCTTTGTTGCTTGTAACATATTCATCAGCGCATTGAAATGCGTTTTGCAATTGAATTGTCCCAACAACATCATTGGTTTGAACAACCTTCAATGAGATTGAGACCTAATCTTCCAATGTAGTTTCTTACAATAACTAATATAACATACTTTTATTAATATGTAGCAATAAACAAACTTCATTGGAATAAGTTGTATTTAAACAATCAATCCAATAACATCTACAAAAATATAAGATAATTTATCATATTGAAATGTATAATGTATAATATAATTTATTACATATTTTAACTAAAAAAAAATCGAAATAAGAAATAAACAAAAAAATTATAACATACCAACCAACACGGGTTCATCAACATTATGGACATCTTCAACTTGAACATCCTAATTATGTGTACTTTGTGGCTTATGAGTTCTTTTGATATCCTTGATTAATTCAAAATCTAGAGTCATCTTGAATGGAAATGGAAAAGCTAATATTTTTTTTTTTTTTTGAATGGTTTGTGGTCGATATTTTTTATTTTCAATGTTGGTAATGTTTATATAGTCATTGTATATGTGTCATATGCCTATAAATCTAATTTAAACAATGATTTACTTAATGATTTTAAATTGATTTGGAATTTGATGGCCCAAAAAAATTGATTAGGTTTCACTTATAACAAATGATGCTTATCCAGTCGGCCATATCAACGTGATTTTTGCCAAAATTACAGGAGTGTTTTTTTTTTTTTTTTTTTTCAAACTATGTTAAATGTTTTGGATATTGTTGCAAAAATTATTTTTTTTATTTTGGTTACTATGAATTTTCAAATCTCATAATTTGCGTGTCATATTTATGCAATTATAATTTGCGAGTGATCATAACAGATTTACGGCGAGATATTTTCTGTAAATAACTATGAAATTAGTTACCATATTTACGGTGAGATATTTTTGGATCGGATAAAAGATTTGTAACCAAACGACAATCACATTTCCATAAAATTCGAACAAAATTTCGGCAAAAATATTTGCATAATAATTATAAATTATATAAAAATCATTTTGACATGTGGGGCCATTTATATTACTTATAGTAGTAAGTCAACAATTTATTTTTTAAGTCAAAATTACTATTTTTGTATTTTTCCAACAACCTCTTTATATTACTATAGATTTCGATTGTAAATTTGGTCAAAATCATGCAAAACTTATCCTGAATATTTTTTAAATTTTATTATTTTTTTTCTGCAAAATTAGTCAATTATGAATCAATTTTACAATTTTGTTCGTTTTTAGTGTACGTATATTTCCTTTCAGTTTAATTTGTTAAATATCAAGTTATAAATAATCTATTTTATAAAAAAATGTTTGTTTTTCTTGTTTAAGCTTAGTAATATCGTTGGTACCACATCATACTCGAGGTCTATTATTTGAAGAAGAGTTCATGGTTTAAAAAAAAAAAAAAAAAAAAAGAAAAAAAAGGTCTCTCGCATTTAATTGAGATATAATTATTTCGGAAGGAGTTAACTTTATACTAATAACTACATCCTGTACACATGCACAAACAAAATTATATATTACATGTATGCATACAATATACTATAGAATTTTATATTAAATAATTGATGTATTACATTTTAAATTTTAACTATATGCAAATGTGTAATATAAATATATATATTATTTAACTTATTAAATTTTGACTATATGCAAATGTGTAATATGAATATATATATTATTTAACTTACATATGAATATTTATATTGATACCATAAATTTGAATGGACAATATAATTTAGTCATCTAGAGGGATCATCCATTTAATTAGTTAGAAAATTATTACAATTATTTCTATCTTTATTATAGCAATTGTCTAAACGGTTGTAATGTGTTTAATTATGGCACTCATGCCAATTAAATAATATTAGATAAAAATAGTTTAAAAAGACAAAAATATCATATTTTAGAAAAAGTATTTTAAAGAAAAAAAATTGCAATACAATTATTTATAAGTATGTAACTTCCACGTACAATTTAATGTAAAATTATAATCAGTTAGTGTTAGTAGTAATATTGTATACTAAATTAGTTTAAAATTGTTATTACATTTTATTAATGTAAAATGTAACGTTCTACATTAATTGAAAAAAAGAGTGGGAAAATTATGAAGGTTTTATTAAATAGGTTTTATTTAATGCATTTGTCAGCAATTATATATATATATATATACAATAAAATAAGATATGTTACAATCAGACGGATCTAGGTATTTTGCTCAGAGGGGCTCGATTTTAAATGATATAATGAGCTTGTAGTTTAAGTCGAAATGCTAATTTTATATGAGAAAGTATTTATTATAAATATATTTGACGATATGTGTACCATCAAGTATTTAAAAACCTTAAAAAAATTGTAACCCTCAAACTTCAAAAAAAAAAAAAAAAAAAAAAAAAGGTGAGATTTTATGTATTTTTAATTTTTTAAAAAAAAAGGATAAAAAAAAATACATTTGCAGTACATTGTGTTCATCAAGTGAACGACTTTTAAGAAGAAAAAACAAACAAACAAAAACTTTTGCAGCACATTTCAAAGAATATTAAAAAGAAAATAAATAAATTTAAAAATATGTTATTACACACAAAAAAAAAAGTAAAAAATCAACATTAAAAATTGTAACAGTACTTAATACGAGATTTTATAAATTACTAACTCCATTTACAATTAAGATATCAAAGAGTAAATCACTATAAATATTTCAAAAGTTAATCTAAAAATTTAAAATATAACTATTGTTGACACATTTTTAAATAAATAATTTATTAATTTAAATTAAATAGCATAAAAAATAATTATTAATATATCGTAAATATTTTGTACATTTTCATACCTATTTTTTTTAATATTTTATTTATATATATATAATATATAAATATTTAAGAAAAATAGGGGGGGGGGGGGGGGGGGGGGCGCGGGCCCAATACAAATCGCGAAAAAAAGAAAAAGATATAAACTATTTTTCAAAATAGGACTCATATGTAAAATAGAACAAATAATTATATCAACAATTAAAATAAAAATTAAGATCATCTACCAGTCATAATTATAAAATAACAATTTTTTTCTACTAAACTTAATTTTATGATATAAGTCAGACAATTATTATGATATAAGAAAATAAAAATAATAATATAAATTTTTAAGAAGTATTTTTTAAAAAAATTAAGTTTATTTTTTATTTTTTTATTTTTTTTAATAATAATCTATATCTATATCTATATAAAAAGAATTACCATTTTATAAAAATAGTAAGTCAAATATTTGTCAAAATCTTATCTGCATTAATTATATACTATTTATAGTAGTTTTTATTTCTTATTTTTAAATAAAATAATGGAGCATTTAATGCTGCAATTGAATGGTGAAAGTTGTTATCTTTTTATGGCACACAAAATTCGGCCAATATATTTTTTTGCAGAACAATTTGATGGAGAGATAAACACATAAATCAGAACACATTTTAAAAAGATTGCCGATTAATTTGTATCTTATTCTGGTGGATAGGTACGCATATAAAATAAAATAAAAAAAAAAATGATGTATGAAAAGATGGTTTTATAAATATAATATTTGTATGTAAATTAAAAATTGATGAATTTCCTAATTGTTACATTCACCTCATAAATTAATTCAAAACTAAACGTGAGATTTATTTTTAACAATAATGCATGTATTTATTTTTAACAATATACACGTAAAATTTACGTGAGATTTATTTCAAAATCCTACTATTTTCAATGAAATTTACGTGAGATTTTATCTCAAAATCCTATTATTTTTGTATAGAAGTGGAATTTAATATATGTATATAATAAGAATAAATTTTTAAACATGTTGTCTGAGTAAATATTTTATGTATATATATATATATAGATGTTAACTTTAAGTGTTTTTAAATATATTTTTCTTATAAAATAGTTTAGAAAATTTTAGGTAATTTCACATTTTTATATATAATAGGATATTTATAGAGTCCTATTATTTTTGTATAGAAGTGGAATTTAATATATGTATATAATAAGAATAAATTTTTAAACATGTTGTCTGAGTAAATATTTTATATATATATATATATATAGATGTTAACTTTAAGTGTTTTTAAATATATTTTTCTTATAAAATAGTTTAGAAAAATTTAGGTTATTTCACATTTTTTAAGACTAATATATAATATTTTAGGTACTTTTATATACTTTTTTCGGTTGTAATATTATTAACACATATAATATTTTAAATACTTCTAAAAATATTTGGACAAATTTTTTACACATTCTCTAGATAAAAACATATTTTCCTTACAAAATGGTTTAGAATACTGTTAGGTGACTTCGCACATATTTCAAAAATAAAATAGAATATTTCAGATACTTGTGCATATGTGATATAATATTTTATATAAAAGGAGAATAAGATTTATAATTCCCGATAAAAAAACATTAAATACATATTTAATCTTAGATATAAATTTTCATTTTATTTGTTATATAATACTTCGGTTTGCATTAATCTTATTTGTAAATTCGATAAATGAAAACTACAAGGACTTAGAAAAAACTAATTTTTAATTCTATAAATAAGTTAGGTCATCATTCTCAATATCAACTCAATATTTATTTTGTATATACTATCATCTCAATATTTATTTATATATATTTTATATATTTAGTGTAAATCTTTTCTTTTTCAGTCAATTAAGTGCAATAATAACTTTATTTAGGCTCATAATATTTTATATATTTTTAAACATATTATTTCGAAATTTTTGTACACGTTCTATCTATATATACATTTATATGTTATGCATGTACATATGTAAATTTAAATATTGTTAGACATGTTTTCATAAAAAATAATGTAGAAGATTTTAAGTGATTTCACATGTTTTTAAATAGTTTAGACATATTTTCTTTACAAAATAGTTTAGAAAAATTTTAAGTAACTTCAATCTTTCAATAATGATATATAAAATTTTAGATACTTTTCCTACGTTATATAACATTTTAAGCATTTTAATATTTTAAACATACATTTTTGAAAATTCTTTTATACAAATTTTATGTATACGACAAATTATATCATATATTAACTCCACATCTCTAATTTATAATTATTAGTTAATATTGTTTACCTTCCTCTTTAACTTATAATTATTATTTAATATTATCTATCCGTGCATCGCACGGGATACACACTAGTTTTTAATCAACACTAGTATATTTACGGGTGTTGTACTAACATATGGACACTAATAATATATTGTACAAAAAGCTTATGTAATTGTTTTTAATTAATGTACTATACGAGAAGGTTACATATTTATTTATTTTTTTTTTTTTTTATAAGTATAGCATATTACTTCGTGTGGTTTTATTTTAATTAAAAGATTGTGTTCAAAATATTGGGTTAATGTAGAAAAAAATGGTGGAATTTGGTGTTGAAAAATGTTGAAAGCTGAAGTTTAAAACCCTATACGGCTATGCTATGCCCATCACACTGTAAGAAGCAAAAATGTTTTCTCCCCCTTCTAGGAAATCCTCCTTCAGTGCCCGCAAAAATGTCGCTAACCGGAGAGACGACGATTCTACTCCGGTGGCTGGCGACCGGAGACCACTGCTCGACAGCCCAGCCGTCCCCAACCGCCCCGCCACTGGGACCCCCGCCCCTTGGTTCTCTCGCCTTTCCGTCCTCGCTAGGTAGTACCTCTCTTACGTGCTTCAGCTTTGTCATTCTCTGTCATTTTTCATTGACATATTTTTTTTTGGAGTAGAACAAAAGGAAATGAGAAGAGATTTTTTAGGGGTATAAATGCTCATACATCCGTGGATAAGGATACTAATTGAATTGTAGAGCTGTGGGTGACTGAGCTGAGTCGAGTAGTTTATTTGTGTGTGTTAGGGTTTAGGGGTATAAATGCTCATACATCCGTGTTTGTTTGTTTGTTTTTTTTTTTGTTCTCGTTTTTTGGTAGTTGTGGTGGTGGTGGTTGTGGTTTGGGTTTGATTTAGCTGCTAACCTCTTTATGTGCAATGGTATGTTTCTGGACGGCTATTGAAGTTAAACTACCCTGGGACATAGAGTTTAGCCTTTAGTCTTTCAATCACATCTTGCAACTTTTGTGGTTTTGTTCCTGTAGATAACTTTGAGCCCAAGAATATCTGCATAAGCTTCTATTTGTTTGTGTGTAGGTTAATGTTTACAGTTGAGGGACACTGCAAAAGCTTAAGCACCAGTTCTATAAAGATTATTATGGAAAATCCATATCCTGTCCAAGTTTTCTTGTAGGCAGAGTCACCTTTCACACTTCTGAGCCACTTTCCTAAAGTTTTTCTACATTATTCTACCGTAATTTTTGGTTCAGTAGTAACCTTACAAACCCTTGGCAGATAGGTTTTGTTGTATTTAGCTCCAGAATTCTTAATTTGAATATTGAAGCTTTCCCGGTTTTAGACTTTAATATAGATAATAAAGGAGACATTTGTGATCCATTAGGACTTGTTCCTTTTATGATGAATATTTGTACAAAAGATTGATATTGAATCTTCTCTTCGTATACTGGGAAGAAACAAGGACCTTGATGTTTAGTAATTACACTTTTGGACCCTGTTTTTTAATGTACCCAGAACCCCCCAGCCAGCCAAGAGAAGTGACAAAGGAGATGACGTAGATGCTGCTAAACCTGTCTATGTTGGGGAGTTCCCTCAAGTTGTACGTGATGCACAAATGAGAGTTCAGAATTATGTTCATGGTTTGTACAGTAAAAGTTTTATTCTGGAAACATAGTATTGTTAGATTATTTTTCAATTATTATTTTTTATAAATATTTCTAATACTAGTTCGTCTGGCAGCTGGTGCATCTGTCACTGGTGGAATGGACAAGGAGACATGCCTAGCATGGATCATATGTGGAAACGGTCTCTTTATCTGGAACTTCTTATCATCTGCTGCTTCAAGAAAATGTATCGACATTGACCTGACGTCTGTTAAAGAAGAAATTGGAGATGTGAGCAGCAACTCATTTCGACCTAACAATTGGTTAGTCCGTTTTGTCAACTGGGACAGCTTGAAGAAAGTTGGTAGCATCACTGTCCAACAGCTCAATTCTGCTGGGATTATATTGTGTAACAAAAAAACTGGTGCTCTACTTTTCTGGCCAGATATCTCAAATGCTAATAGGATGCTTCCATCCACGTGTCTTGCCTTTTCCGACAAGTTTGGCAATAAGGCTGCAAAATTATGTTATATTAACTCTTTGATAACTTCACCTGTCTCGTCTACCAACAAAAGTTGTATTGCACTTGCATGTAGTTCTGATAGTGAACTTTGGAGATTCTTCTGTAGCCCTTCTGGTATTCAATTTGAACAGATTGAGCATGGCATGTCAAATAAATTATCTGAAGGAAATGATAACGGTTCGTCTGTGGCAAGTAAAGGCTATCCTAGGTCACTGATTTGGCAGTTTTCTAGTCATTCATCGGATGACACTACAAAACAGTTCCTTCTGCTAACTAATCACGAGATACAGTGCTATGCAGTAAAGCTTTCCTCTGATTTAGATGTGGTAAAGCTTTGGTCTCATGAAATCATCGGCACTGATGGTGATTTGGGTATACAGAAAAACCTTGCTGGCCAAAAGAGGATTTGGCCTCTTGATTTGGCTGTTGATAGTGATGGCAAGGTAATAACTGTTCTAATTGCCATCTTTTGCAAGGATCGGGTGACCAGTTCAAGCTACACTGAGTATTCCCTTCTGACCATGCAATACAAATCTGGAGTAGATATAGCCAAGCCAATAGGCAAACAGATACTGGAGAAAAAGGCCCCTAACCAAGTTATTATACCTAAAGCTAGAGTAGAGGATGAGGAATTTTTGTTCTCAATGAGATTAAAGGTAGGTGGAAAGCCGGCTGGTTCTGCTATTATACTCTCAGGCGATGGTACTGCAACTGTTTCCCACTATTGGAGAAACTCCACCAAGCTTTACCAGTTTGATTTGCCCAATGATGCTGGAAAAGTTCTTGATGCTTCAGTATTCCCTTCCCTTGAGGAAAGTGAAGATGGAGCTTGGGTTGTGCTCACCGAGAAAGCTGGAGTTTGGGCTATACCTGAGAGGGCAGTTTTAATAGGAGGAGTTGAACCACCCGAACGAAGCTTGTCACGTAAAGGGAGTTCTAATGATGGATCTCTACAGGAGGAAAGAAGGAGCATTTCTGTTGCTGGAAACATTGCTGCAAAAAGAGCCAGTTCAGAAGCTTGGGAAGCAGGTGATAGGCAACGAGCGGGTTTAACTGGAGGTGCACGTCGTATCCCTCAAGACGAGGAATCGGAACCTTTACTAAGCCAGCTTTTCCATGAATTTCTCATGTCTGGACAGGTTGACGGTGTGCTTGATAAATTGAAAAATTCAAGGGCTTTTGAAAGAGAGGGAGAGATAAATGTATTTGCCAGGATGAGCAAATCAATTGTTGACACCTTAGCTAAACACTGGACGACAACCAGGGGATCTGAGATTGCTCTATCTGTTGTGTCCACTCAACTTGTTGATAAGCAACAAAAGCATCAGAGGTTTCTTCAGTTCCTTGCTTTGTCCAAATGCCATGAGGAATTGTGTCACCGACAGAGTATGATCATTTTAATTATTTATATTATGTTATGCTGCCCTTTTTTTTTATTCATTTTCATTCTGCTTTTCTTTTATATTTCTGAAATTTGCTCTCTCTCTCTCTCTCTCTCTCTCTCTCTCTCTGATGATGTTTTGTTGTTTATTCTCTGACCAGGACAATCTATGCAAATTATCATGGAACATGGGGAAAAGCTTGCCAGCATGATTCAACTGAGAGAACTTCTAAATGCAATTAGCCATGCTACCGAGTCTGGGGTTGGCTCCTGCTATGACTCAGATGCTCGGACTTCTGGAGCTCTATGGGATCTTATCCAGTTAGTTGGTGAGAGGGCCCGCCGGAACACAGTTCTTTTGATGGATAGGGATAATGCTGAAGTATTCTATAGTAAGGTGTCAGAGCTCGAGGAATTGTTTCATTGCTTAGAGGGAAATCTAGAACATATCATCTCCCAAAATATGCCTATTATTGTGCAATCTCAAAGAGCTTGTGAACTTGCAAATGCATGTGTTACAATCTTCCGTGCATCCGTTGACTATAGGGCTGATCACCACCTGTGGTACCCTCCACCCGAGGGCTTGACACCGTGGTATTCAAAATTTGTTATGTGGAGTGGGCTGTGGAATCTTGCATCATTCATGCTTCAATTGCTCAGTGGAACAAAAGAGCTTAAAGATTCTGTCATATTTGATTTTTGCTCGAATCTTGTAGTACTCTCAGAGATACTACTTGAATCATATGCTAATGCTATCGCAGCAAAAATGGAACGGAAAGAAGATCATCGAAGTCTGTTGGAGGAGTACTCAAAATGTAGAGATACCCTTCTCGACTCCCTTTATAAGCAAGTGAAAGATTTCATACTGGCGAAATCACTGGTAACTACTTTGAATTAATTTTTAGATTGCGGAGTCATATGAGGTTTCAGAACTGACAAAATGGTTGAATACACATTTCACAATATAATTTTATCCCTTCAATTTAATTTATCCTCCTACACTTTCTTTAATAGTAAACATATTCACTGGAGTTATGTAGCATCCCAGCTCATATATTTTGCTTTTATTTGCGATTCATTTGTTGGTTTTATTTGGATGCACTATAATCGTTACCTGTTTTGCCGTTGCAGGATACAGCTGAGGAAAATGAGGAATTGAATAAGGATACTATGATGACATTTTCTTCAAAGTTATTGTCAATTGCAAAACGCCATGAGGGCTATCAGACTATGTGGAACATATGCTGTGACCTCAACGATTCCGAACTCCTCCAGAGTCTCATGGTATAAACTTAGAACTAAGTTATAGTACCAAATTGCTTGCAGAAGACAAATTTTGTCTGTTGACCTCACTATATATATGTGTGTGTGTGTGTGTGTGTCTATATATACACATATTGCTTCTGATGCGTCATTTTGTTAATAAAAAGCTGCTCAATTTATTTATTTATTTTTTATTATTATTTTTTTTTTATCATATGAGCTTTTAATGAGAATTGTAATTTGAACTTCTATTTTGCAGCATGAAAACATCGGACCAAAAGGAGGTTTCAGTTGCTTTGTCTTCAAACAACTCTATGATAGCAAACAATTCTCAAAACTAATGCGGCTGGGTGAAGAGTTTCATGACGAGCTTGCTACATTTCTGAGGCAGCATCCCGATCTTCTTTGGCTTCACGAATTGTTTCTTCGTCAATTTTCTTCAGCTTCTGAAACTTTACACGCATTATCTACTTTATCTCTTCCTAAGGATAACAGATCAGTTTCAGATACTGATGAGACTGAACCTAGTAGCCAACAACCTAAATTAACTTTGGCTAGGAGAAAGCATTTTTTGAATCTCGCAAAACTATCAGCAGTGGCAGGTACTGGCTATCTCCAGCTGTAATATGCTACAAAATCTTATGATTGTGATTGCTCTTTGGCTGTGTGATCTCTATTAAGAATTGTGCCCTCCAAAAAGAAGTATCGAATAGGGTATTTAGGGGTTCCATTAATCATATAATCCAATGCCCTAGAGGAAATTAAGAAGTCCAAAATTTGTGGTAGATGCAGTGTCATTCTTTCTTTCTGGTAGAAGGATGCAATACTTAATTTTTTGGTGTTCTTTATTATTTTTTACCATGTTGTTTGCACCTGAAGTGGTGATACCAATCTGTGAATCTGTCAGGAAGAGAAGTTGGCTATGAGCTAAAGGTGAAGCGTATTGAAGCTGATCTGAATATTCTACAAGTACAGGTATTTAGACCAATTTGCATGTTTGTGTTGTTAACTGACATGGAATGAGAAAAAAGTTTTGCCGAGACCAATATGTTGGGATTTAGGTTATCTATACTGTTTCTCATATTTTGATAACATGCCTAATCACTAGAGCCAAATACTCGGAATAATATTTTCTCTGGACTAACGTTCTCGTACTCTTAATAAAGGAAGAAATAGTGAGGCTTCTACCTGACGATGATGAGGAAAAGCAATTGATGGAGCAGCAGCTTCTTGATCCAGTGGATCTCATCAAAATGTGTCTTAGAATCGAGAAGCGGGAGCTTTCTTTGCGAGCCTTCGATTTATTCTTGTGGACGAGTGCGTCCTTTCTCAGACGCAACACAACGGTTTTGGAGGAGTGCTGGAGAAATGCTGCAAGTCAAGATGATTGGGAGAGACTTTATAGCTTGTCCATGAATGAGGGCTGGAGTGATGAGAGAACCTCTGAGGTTCTCGAGCAAACTGTACTTTTCCATGCCGCTAGCAAATGTTATGGGCCCCGCTCAAAAACTTTTGATGTGAAATTCGATGAGGTGTTCCCGTTGAGGCAGGACACGGATATAGGCCCCTCTGTGGAAGGGGTCATCATGCAGCACAAGGATTATCCAGATGCAGGCAAGCTGATGCTGACCGCTATCCTGCTCGGGAGTGATCAGTGACCGAGGGCCTTATTTCATGGAGGGAAAAGATAGTTTTTGTCTCAGGTTGTCTTGTTGGTCTTGTGTCAAAGTTGGATTTGGGATTTTGGTACCCAACTTTTGCAGATTGAGATGGCTATTGGCAGGGGGGGGTTGGGTGTAAGGTTTTTGTGTTCAACATTGAAGGAGAAAAAAAATGAAAAATATTTTACCCTTTTCATAGTCTGAGATTTCTGCATATAATTAAACATATGTTACTTTTACTCACCATAGCATTTTTATAATCAATAATTATTAAACATACTTATCACTTTTGGTCATCCATTATGTCATATAATTTTGTCAAATAGTTTGTTAAATCATTAATAGAAAGAATGAACTGTCGAACGTACATTTGGTGGTCTTATAGATATGGGATAAAATTGCTATATAGCTGCCTGCCAATTCGGATTTCTGAGTGTCCACGTGGCAAAATATAGACCTGGGCTTGCCTTGTAAAAAATCTTGAGGGGAAATCTAAATCCCCAAAACCAACCAATCAGTGCATGCTGAGGTGTACACATCTCTAATCCGCAACTCCATTATATAATAATAATCTATGTACCTACCCAGCTTCAATTTCATTCACATTACATACAATTTTTTCTCACTTTCACTTAGCTCAAATAGAATAAAAATGGCAGCAGCTTCAGGCATCCAACAATCCGCATTTGCTGGCCACACTGCTTTGAAGCCACAGAATGAACTCATCAGAAAAGTCGGCAACCTGCGCGGCGGCCGCATCACCATGAGGCGTACTGTGAAGACTGCTCCGGAAAGCATCTGGTACTATTTATCTTAACATTCATCAGTATCTATATATAATAGTTTAGTTTAACCTTAGAAAAGGAGTGCTTATTATTGTACAAATATTTGAGGAAATTTTTTCCTAAATATATATAATTTGACTGTGGAAATAGGTATGGGCCAGACAGGCCCAAGTACTTGGGCCCGTTCTCGGAGCAGACCCCATCATACCTCACCGGTGAATTCCCTGGTGACTACGGGTGGGACACTGCTGGGCTGTCAGCCGATCCAGAGACGTTCGCCAAGAACCGCGAGCTTGAAGTGATCCACTCCCGTTGGGCCATGCTCGGCGCTTTGGGCTGCGTCTTCCCCGAAATCCTGTCCAAGAACGGCGTCAAATTTGGTGAGGCCGTGTGGTTCAAGGCAGGGTCTCAGATCTTCTCAGAAGGTGGGCTCGACTATTTGGGCAACCCGAACCTGATCCATGCCCAGAGCATCCTAGCTATTTGGGCCACCCAGGTTGTTCTCATGGGCTTCGTTGAAGGGTACAGAGTCGGAGGAGGCCCACTTGGAGAGGGCCTGGACAAGATCTACCCTGGTGGGGCGTTCGACCCGTTGGGCCTGGCTGATGACCCGGAGGCCTTTGCCGAGTTGAAGGTTAAGGAGCTCAAGAATGGGAGGCTGGCAATGTTCTCCATGTTTGGGTTCTTTGTGCAGGCCATTGTCACTGGAAAGGGCCCAATTGAGAACCTGTATGACCATTTGGCTGACCCAGTGGCTAACAATGCATGGGCCTATGCCACCAACTTTGTGCCTGGAAAATGAGAGAAGGAATGAATATGTAAAAGAGAGAGAATGTGGAGTTACATGGGATGTAATACTGTTTATTATTAATGTTAAATGAGAGTGTTCACTGTCTGACGTGTATATGCTTTACTAGTTGTTGCATTTTGAGTTTGCTACAGTAGTCAACTAACATAAACAGCCAGCAGCACCTTTATAAGTAGAAAATTGCACCATTGCCAATACAGTTAATTAGAAATAGAGATTTGCGACGACTCACAGAAAGTATAGTGTGTATTTGAACAATCACTTAAAAAAAAATTCAGTAGTATTTAAACAAATATATAAATCATAAGCAATTGGACATATTAAAAAACCAACCTTCACAGTCACTACTTTTTTTTCACTCTGGCTGCACGCCAAATTACCGGACTTACTATGTTTTGCTGAAAGGAATGCAACAGCACAATAAAAATGGCTTTTAAAAAATTTTGGTGTTGAAAATGAAACTGTAAACAGTCAACTTTTGTACATAATAATAAAAAGATATATTACTTTTGATTCATTTCACGAAATGTTAACAAGTCAGGATATATATATGTCTGAGGTTGGCAGTGAGCCATCAGTTGAAACATATTACATTTTAACTGCTCTCTTCTGTAATGAGGGGCAGAAGTCGTGAGGTGGACGAGTCGGTCCAACTTATGAAGGAGAAAGGGCTGATTTCCAATGAGGCCATATATTGCTCTCTTCTCAGTGCATACTAAATTATTTAGACCGAATAAAGTTGGTTGAACATATTTGTTTCAGAAAAACGGTGTTGTAAATAGCAACACACACACATATAGTAGACCAATTATTTTAGACCGACTAAAGTTACGAATGCAAGGATGAAATTATAATAGTAAGTACCCCGACAACATAAGGTAGTTGTTGTTGTAGAATTAACCTCGAGTTGTGACTACACGAATAATAGTCCTAAGCATTAGTTTGAGTATTGTTGGGGTTTGGAGTTTTGTATATGACTGGTCTTAGATGATGCTGCAGCACTTTTTCTATAACTTGGATTGACATGAAGAAGAGCTTGTCTTGTGGGGTGTTCATTAACTGGCAGGTCATATTTGAAAGTTGCGCGCATTGTCTAGCTCTTCTTTCTTGCCATCATTTAGATCTCGAATATTGTTACTCCTCTTTTTTTTTTCCATTTCCTTTAAATTTCTTTGCCTCACAATTCCGGCCATTTTTTTTTTTTTTTTTTCAAAAGTACAGAGCCTTGTTGTAGTAAAGCTCAAATTCGGCAAAGCTTGTATATATACTTAGAAGAGTAAATTCATTTGTATTATGCATATTTGTACTGTCAATTCAAATAGAAATTTGAATTATCCTTTTCTTTGTTTATTTATTCACTTGGAAATGTACTCCTAATACTTTATGTTGGGGGGGGGCTTGTTTGTGACTAAAGGTGTGTAATAAGACTCTATTGACACACCACAAGACAACACACATAAGTCCATATGATTCTCTTATCCTTTTGCTAATCTATCTATCTATGAATTCATCATTACAGATTGTTTATTCAAAGGCAGCCCCCACAAGAAACCAAAGTGAATGATTATATGTTTTGCATCTAAAAACCAAAAAAAGGTACAAAAAGAAAGGATGAGTTTATGGAAAACCATTGAACCCCACATTATTATTAGACAACAAAAGAATGGAACTGTTTTTGAGTGTCAACAAAATGCTCAAAACCAAACCATATATATTCCTCCAACCACATCCCTCCAATAGCTATGCCTATGCATCATCCACAAGCTCTTTTTTGGCCTTTTTCCCTCACCATTTACCTAAGAATTAAGGTCCTTTTGCCTTCACTCCCTCACCCTTAACAACTTCATTCCATAGCTTTCTCTATTGTTTTTCTTTTGGATTTATTTATGCTGCACAGTTGCTCACATACTCCTTCTTGCATAACTCATCCATCCATCCATCCATCCATCCATCCATCCATCAAGAGACAGAGTGAGAGAGAGAGAGAGAGAGAGATTTAAATTACATTTGTCAGCTCATTCTCTGTCTATATATATATGTGCAACAAAAGCACACTCCTGAGAACACACACACACAACCACCAACAGAAATACTCACACATACACATTGGCTTCAAAGCACTTCATTGTCCACAAAAATTCGGATTGTTTCCGGGCTGATCGATTACGATTATTATTACAAGTTAAAAGAAGAACAAATCATGGAAAATCATAATAAGTACTCATCAGCCGTTGGCTCGTCTATCGTGTTACTACAGGAACGGTTCAAGCAGCTGCAAAGGTTGAAAGACATAAGGCAAGAAAGGCAGCTCCTCATCAACCAGCTCTCTCAATCGATCAACGGCTGTGATGGGCCACTCAATCCATGCACGAACTCTCCACCACCCGATGCAGCTTCTCATGATCCTCTAGCTCTTGGGCTCGAATCTAATCACACGCCACGTGTTCAAGCTGTCAAGCCTGTTTTACAACGGCTAACTGCATCTGCAATTAGGGGCAGACATAATGATTTCTATGAGGTCGATTCTGATGCTGTTGATACGTCCCTTCATCTCTAGACTTCAAATGTATATATGCATAATTAATCTGTGATCAGAGTCTGTTTTCGTACTTCTTCTGTAATAAAATGGGACAATTATGAAGTATAACAGGACAAAAAGGTATTTACTCATGGAGGAACTTGTAACTGATGAAGATACATAATGCTGATAAGAAACAAGGTAACCAGGACATATATTTTATTGTCAAAAAAAAAAAAAAAAACATAGCATGCAAAATACAATATGCTTAGCCTCTAGGGGTGAGAATATATAACTCGGTTGGCTGTCAATGAATACAAGGTAAATGATTTATTTTGTGTTCATACAATTTTTGTACTCTGTCTTCAACAACTTCAAATTTTAGAGGAAGTGACTTAGTTGGTGCAAAAGAAAAAACAAAAGGCAGAGAAGTATTTCCAAGTCTGAGAAGCTTTTGTACATTCTTTGGCCAACAAGCACAGACCGGCATCACATAAGAACTTACATAATTTTTTCCCTTTTCATTCTTGCATATCAATCCCAAACTTACAGAACTGATAACATATCTTGGATTTTCTTTTTTTTTTTTTGGCCTATTACAAAAGGTAAAAGGGGTAATCAGAAAGTTCTAGTTACCCAATGAAATAACAAATAAACCAGTATATGGAAAAATAAACAATTAGATGGCCAGGTTTTCTTCTCATTACATTCCTTCAGAAGGCTTTGTGGTGAGTCCAAATCCAAAGGGGAAAAGGGGATCATAATGTGCATCCCCAAAGTTCATTGGCAGTTGATCGACTCTCTTGAACCATGTTCTGGGCAATTTCCCGGTAAAACCATAGTCCCCAAATAGCACATCAGCTACACCTTGTCCTTGAGAACCAGGCAACCATGCAGCCACAAGAGCATCAATGTTTGGAAGATACGGCTCAATGACTAGCGGCCGTCCCGAAATTATAATCACAACACACTTCATTTTGCTGCATACGCTATTCATTGTGGTAAGACCCGGTTCTGGAATAGTTAGGTTCGTGTTGTCTCCATATTGCTCCGCATACGTGTGCTCCCCCACCACCACAACAGCGTATGAAAACTCGTCCGCATTCAATGATTCAACATCCGGTTTTGCGCTGTACACGATTTCTGTACTTGGGTCAACCGTAGTTGAGATGGCATTCAATATAGTGGTTCCTGATCATTATATATTATAACAAGAGAAGGTGATGAATATTCTTACTACATTAATTAATATCAGATATGAAAAAAAGGTACAAATTATATATATTTGGTAGATTAATTCTTGATTGATTAATTCTAGAATACATACCACTTATGAGGGTGTTGTTGTCGACGCCCTACCAGTCGACAGTCCAACCACCACATTGTAAACCGAGATTGTTGGCATGAGTTCCGGCGACCAAGATTTTCGATGTCTTTTTGGGGAGTGGGAGCAAAGGACTGTTTGAATCTTCTTTTCCATTCTTCAAGAGAACAAGTGATTTTCTCACAGCCTCTCTTGCCAATTCTCTGTGAGCTTGTGTCCCTATAAGACCTGTCAAGCTATAATCAGCTAAAGGATTCTCAAAGAGACCCATACTGAATTTGACCCTCAAAATCCTTCTCACTGCATCGTCAATACGGCTCATTGGTATCAATTTGTTGTTCACATGAGAAGTCATGAGCCGGATAAATTCTGTGATATTTGGTGGAACCATCACCTGGATCATACATACAATCAAACCGCACAACTCAGTCTCGTCTACTGTTGCATTAATGTTGTAAGAAGTTTCATTATATATGGAGATATATAAGAAAAATGTGATTTATATGCATACCATGTCTACACCAGCATTAATTGTTGCTAGAAGTGAGGTTGAATAGTTAGAACCCCATGGATAAGTCATTCTGTCCACGCCCTGCCAATCCGAAATGACGAATCCCTGAAAAAATTGAAAAATAAATAAATAAATTGATCATAAGTACTAGCTAGTCAATTTACTAAATCTATAATTTT